GCTATACAGAAGCTTTTTAGTTAGATAAAATCCCATTTATTTATTTTTGCTTTTGTTGCCTGTGCTTTTGACGACTTACCCATAAAATCTTTTTCCAGAACAATATCCTGAAGCATTTCCCCTATGTTTTCTTCCAGTAGTTTTATAGTTTTGGACCTTACATTTAAGTCTTTAATAGAAATTGAGTTGATTTTTGTATATGGTGAGAGATACGGATCTAGTTTCATTCCTTGGCATGTGGCTATCCAGTTTCCCCCAGCACCATTTATTGTTGAAGAGGCTGTTCTTTCCCCAATATATGTTCTTGGTGGCTTTATTGAAAATCAGTTGACTACAAATAAGTGGATTTATTTCTAGGTTCTTTTTTTTTTGTTATAATACATTGGTCTATGTCTGTCTGTCTGTCTGTCTGTCTCTCTTTCTCCTTGCTAGTACCATGCTGTGTTGGTTACAATAACTTTGTAGTATATTTTGAAGTCAGGTAATGTGATGCCTCCAGCTTCATTCTTTTCTGCTCAGCTTTGGCTGTTCATGATCTTTGTTTGGTTTCATACAATTTTCAGATGGTTTTTTCTATTTCTGTGAAGAATGTCATTGGTATTTTGATAGGGATACATTACATTTATAGATTGCTTTGGGTAGTATGATCATTTTAACAGTATTAACTCTTCCAATTTTCTAATCCATGACCATGGGATGTCTTTCCATTTGATGTGTCCTCTTCAATTTCAATTTTGTTTTGTAGTTTCTTTTTTCTGTTTTTTTTTTTTTTTTTTTTGAGATAAGGTCTTGCTCTGTCACCCAGACTGGATTGCAGTGGTATGATCATAGGTCACTGTAGCCTCAAACTCCTGGGCTCAAGTGATCCTCCTGCCTCAGCCTCCTGAAAATCTGTGACTATAGGCACATGCCATTCTGCCTGGCTAATCTTATTTGATTTTTTGTAGAGATGGGATCTTGCTATGTTACACAGGCCAGTCTGGAACTCCTGGCCTCAAGCAATCCTCTTGCCTTGATCTTCCAAAGTGCTGAGATTACAGGTGTGAGCCACCATATCTGAGATTGTAGTTATCATTACGGGGATCTTTAACCTTCTTGGTTACATTTATTCCTGGGTATTTTATTTTATTTTACACTTGTAGCCATTAAAGTGGAATAATTTGCTTGATTTCTTTTTCAGCTACTTTGTTATTGGTGTATAGAAATACTGGTTTTTTTGGTATTTAATTTTGTATCCTGCAACTATCCTACATTTATTTATCAGATCTAAAAGTTTTTTGGTAAAGTCTTTAGGTTTTTCTCTATATAAAATCATGTCATCTGCAAAGAAGGACAATTTGACTTCCTCTTTTCTATTTTGGATGCCTTTTCTTTCTTTCTGTAGCCTGATTGCTCTGGCTAGAACTTCTAGAACTATGTTAAATAAGACTGGTGAGAGTGGGCATCCTTGTCTTTCTCCAGTTCTTACATTGATAATATCAGTACATTAGCTGTGGGTTTGTCCTGTATGTTGTTATTGTGTTAAGGTATTAATATTTTCCTAATTTGTTGAGAGTTCTTGTCATGAAGGGAAGTTGAATTTTATCAAATGCTTTTTCTGTGCCTATTGAGATGATCATATGATTTTTGTTTTTCATTCTATTGCTGTGATGTATCACATTTATTGGTTTGTATATGTTGAACCATCTTTGCATCCCTGGGGCACATTCCTGTTGATCACAGTGTATAATCTTTTTGATATTCTGTTGGATTTGGTTTACTAGTATTTTGTTAAGGATTTTTGCATCTAAATTTATCATGGCTATTGGTCTGTAGTCTTCTATTTTATTGCATCCTTGTCTGGTTTTGGTATCAGGTTAATGTTGGCCTTAAGAAGAGTTCCTTCCTCTTCATTTTTTTGGAATAGTTTGAGAAGAATTGGTGTTAGTTCTTTAAAAGTGTGGTGCAATTCAACATTGAAGCCATCGATCCTGAAGTTTTGTTTGTTGGGAGACATTTTACTATTGGTTCAATCTCATTACTCATTATTCATCTTTTCAGATTTTCTATTTCTTACTTGTTTAATCTTGGTAGGACATATATGTCTAGAAATTTGTTTATTTCCTCTAGGTTTTCCAATTTGTTAACATATCATTGTACATAATAGTCTCTAATGATCATTTGTATTTCTGTGGATTAGTTGTAATATCTTTTTTTCAATTTTTGATTTTATTTATTTAAGTCTTTTCTTCATTTTTCTTATTTAATGTAGTTAGTGGTTTGCTGATTTTGTTTTGTTTTGCAAATAAACCAACTGTTCAGTTGGTTGGTGATGTTTTGTGTTTTTTGTTTAGTCATGATTTCATTTAGTTCTGTTCTGATCCTCATTATTTTTTTCTTCTACTAATTTTGGGCTTGGTTTGTTCTTGCTTTTCTAATTCCTTGAGGTGCATTGTTAGGTTGTTTATTGGAAATCTTTCTACTTTTTGATGTAGGTGCTTATTACTATAAAAATCCCTTTTAGTACTGCTTTTTCTGTATCCCTTAGGTTTTGGTATGTTGTGTTTCCAATTTCATTTGTTTTAAGAATTTTTTAATTTTATTTTTAACTTCTTCATTGACACATTGGTCATTGTTTTAATTTGCACATATTTGTACAGTTTCCAAAATTCCTGTTGATATTGAGTTTTAGTTTTATACTACTATGGTCTGAAAATATACATGATATGATGTTGATATTTTAAAATTTGAAACTTGTGGCCTAATATATGGTCTAGTCTCTTGCTTTATTTTCAATAACTTTTAAGTTATTTTATTCTTTCTGTCTTCAAGCTTGTTTTATATATAATTATATAAAAGTTTTTATATATGAATATATATATACACACATTCTTTACATTATTATTACCCTAGAGATTATATTACAACATGCATTATTAGACTGTAACATGGATATTTGAATATTTTACCCTTTTTTAGACAATGCTAAAATCTTAGAATCCCACAATCTATTTGAGATACTATTACAATACATTGTAATCATACATACATTTAAATTACCACAGATATTATTATAATTGCTTTATAAAATCAGTACCAATTTAGATTTGTGTATATATTCACTTTTTAAAAATCCTTCATCCTTTTTTGCATTTCTTTACATCTAGAATAATTTTCTTTTGTTTTTTAAAAAAAACTTACTCTCATGTTTATTTTAGTGTGGTATGGCTGTTAATGAATTTGATAAATTTTTGTTTTCCTGTAAATGTCTTTATATTGCATTCACTTTTTTTTTTTTTTTTTTTTTGAGACAGAGTCTCCCTTTGTTGTCCAGGCTAGAGTGAGTGCCATGGCGTCAGCCTAGCTCACAGCAACCTCAAACTCCTGGGCTCGAGCGATCCTTCTGCCTCAGCCTCCCGGGTAGCTGGGACTACAGGCATGTGCCACCATGCCCGGCTAATTTTATATATATATATCAGTTGGCCAATTAATTTCTTTCTATTTATAGTAGAGACGGGGTCTCGCTCTTGCTCAGGCTGGTTTTGAACTCCTGACCTTGAGCAATCCGCCTGCCTCGGCCTCCCAAGAGCTAGGATTACAGGCGTGAGCCACAGCGCCCGGCCTGCATTCACTTTTGAAAGATATTTTTCTCTGGATATAGAATTCTAAGTTAACATCATACTTTTTCCCCAATTAGCATTTTAGAGGTATCCTTCCATTGTTTGTTGGCCTCCATCTTTTCTTTGTTGACAAGTAAGCTGTCAGTCTTATAATTTATTTGACAGCAATATGTTTGGTTATTTTGCTTTAAGATCTTGACTTCTCACAATGTTGCTCACTCAAATGGTGCAAAGTCCAATTTTTTTGTCTCCTCAATGTTCTAACATTGCTAAAAGGTCTACTTTGTTGTTGCTTTCAGCTTGGCTTTCTGCTTATTTTTGTCCAGCTTGTCCCTTCATCCCATGCCTCGTAAGTATCAGAGGATGTTTTACGTTGAAAAAATCAGAATAGAATGTTGGATTTACCTCAATGAACTTCCATTTTCTCTAGGATCTGGGTCCCTCATGTTCTGACTTCCTGAGTAGCTCTCCAGTGATTCAAAAAACATTTTTTTTTTGTATTTTATCTAAATAGTTGCCTATGGTGAGGTATTGTTGTTCTACAGATTATTTATTATAGTTGGAAGTGAAAACTCCCAGGTAATATTTTATGAAGGAGAAGGAATATAATCTAAGCCCTGATGAAAAGGCAAGATTTGGAAGGAAGAAAAGAGAAAAATGGCATAGTGGAAGGGATGCAGATGGGAATGACAAGTTACTCATATTAATGTAGGAAGCAAATGAAGTTTATGCAAAAGGGGAATATTAACAACCTATATTATTTATGCAGTATTTTGGCCTTTACAAAGCATTTAAACCTACATGTCAGTTTGAACTTCACAACACAATGTATTATTCTCATATATATAAAAGTAAATGCAAGGGCTTTTATTTACTTTAGGTAACATAGCCCATTAATGATGGAGCTAGACTTGGGAGGTAGGCAGGAGCTTCTGAATACCAACTTAATGATTTTGAGCTTCATTCTCTAAAACATGCCTATTTCATAGTACTCTGAATGGATTTAAGGTTTTTTTTGGCAATTTATGTGTGAATGAATATGAACAGATCTATGCATGAGTTTTGGTATTTCAATTTTTGTTAGGGAATTTTCATACCTAAGAATATATGTGGAGGTGATGGAATGGCAAGGGGTATTGGATTATTACAGAATATTAGAAATTTGAGGATATGGTAGTAAAGGGAATCATAATGTATTAGTTTTCGAGGGCTTTTGTAACAAAGTACTACAGACTGGTTGGCTTAAAGAACAAAAGTTTATTTTCTCACATTCTGGAGGCTAAAAGCCCAAGATCAAGGAGTTGGCAGGGTTGTTTATTTCTGAAAGCTGTGAGAAGAATTTGTTCCATCTCTCTCTCTCCCCTAGTTTTTGATGACTTGCTGGCAATCTTTGGCTCTCCTTGTAGATGAATCACATTAATCTCTGCTGTCATAATCACCTGGCATTCTTCTTGCTTATGTGTATCTCCGTGTTCAAATATCTGCTTTTTATAAAGACTTCAGTCATGCTAAATTAGGGCCTGCCCTAATGACCTCGCCTGAACTTGATCATCTACAAAGAACCTATTTCCAAACAAGGTCACACTCACAGGTACTGGGCAGGGGGTAGGACTTCAACATCTTTCTGGGGGGCACATGGAGGTATATCAGAGCACATCATTGTCTAGAAGGGCATGAAATTTTAATTTTAAATTTTAAGTGGGAACATTAGGGAATCTGTTATTTTATTATCATATATGATATTTTACTTTTATATTTAATTATATAAGTTATCATATTTCATTATCATGTGTGAGTCTATGCACATGAAAAAATTGAATAACAGGGTATAAGAATATCTGATAAATATTTACTTATCTTTAAACTGAGTAATAATGGCTAATTATTAATCCCTTTCCCTATCCATCCTAGAATTGCCTACAACTATTTGTATGATAGATTCTGTCCCAAAGGCTTCCTTTTTGCAACTGGTTATTTGTGTTTTCCATCTTCCCTTTCTTGCCATTATTTGCTTCTTCTCAACAATAAGCAATTGACTCCCTGATCCTTTATGCTTGAACCATAGAAAGAGAACATCCTCCACACTAGCAGTTCCTGTTCCTTCCAAACTCCTGTAGTTTCTGCTTTTTAGCTATCTACTTATGAAATTAATCTTGCCCATAGGAAGGGGAAGAAAAGGGTTCCGGCCAGCAGCTCACTTTGGCTCTTGTGTTCCTCTGTAAGCATATGCCTCCCTGTTATTTTATTGACAGTACCTGGACCTTTCAGTCCTGCCCTTCTCTCTCTCCTTGTAGATGTATCATGCTGGAAGAAGGAAGCCACATTCCAGTCTTGAACCCTGACGCTCATGGGGAAGACATTAGGGATGTTAACATCAGGTGAGGAAATAGTTGGACAGCATAGCAAGGGTAGTGCTCTAGTGGGTGCTACCTCTGAGTCTCACGCACTTTCATCTTACCTGGAGCCCTTTGAGAAAGTAAATAGAATTAGAGGACTTAGGAAGAACAGATGTTTGTTTACTGTGGCTAGAATGCCAAGATTTTCTTGCATGGATACTATCTCAAATATAGTTTGACATCTCCTCTGTATGTGACCTCATTTAAGTGCCTTGTCCTTGTTCTCAGGTTATACCTGTATATTTTGCCATTGCCTCTGGTTTACTCCAATCAAGACATCCTGCTCTTACCACTCTCCATTTTCTCTTTTCCTTCCAGTTTCACCACTGGAGCTCTGGGGCCATCAGTCACTAGTACCCATTGAAGCACAACACCTGCTGTGCTGTTGAAATATTTCCTCACCTGCAATCAACACCTCTAGAATAGTTTTCCCCATGAGCCTCAGGGTTCAAGACTGAAATGTATCGACCGTCTTCCAAATGTGGATTTAGTATTCTTTGTGTGATTGAAAAAGGCACCTCTTCTGGGTGGATGCAGCCACGCTCCTGCACACTCCATGATGAGCAGTGAGTGAAAAGTGGAGTGAGCTCCCCCACTCAGTTGTTCTCCCTGATATCTTTGTGCAAGAAATTAACTATAGAAGGGAACAGCATGATGTCTGGGTCTCTTTCCTTTGCTTACTGCATGATTCTGGCCTCCCCTCCCTTTTTTTTTAATATCTCTATAAATGTTTATCTCCTGAATATCCAGATCCAGGCTCCTTAGCTCTGGCCCACTCTGCCACCAAGTTAACCACAATGGTGGATTCAAGAATAATCACAGAGCAACTGAAATTGCCATTTAGTCATGTTGATGGCACCAGCCAGAGTTCCCAGAATGGTGGATGGAAAATTTTATGTCTAAGACCAAAGTGCAAAATAAAATAAAATAAAGAATATATTGACAGATTGGGTCCAGTTCACATACACTATTTCAATACCCACAAGGGGTTGAGATTTCACAAAAAACATAAAGAGTTGATATTACTCATAACATTACACATGTACACTCAGTATCTAGGTCATAAAATACAAGAGAAAATATTAAGACAACCTATTCCTTATGAGAAGGTCTTGGTTTACTTTAAAAAAAATTTATACATTTAAAGTAAATTTACCACTTTTCATGAAGAAGTATTTAAATATAGCAATAACAAAGTGGATGCATATTAAAGCCCTTGGACTGATTAGAAAATTGGGTGCCAATAACTTGTTCTGAAGCTCATTAAAACAAATGAAAGACTTGGAATGTTTTTCTTCTCTTTTTTTGGCAGAAATTACACATCCACATTGCAAGTTTAATGATTCTATGCTTGTGATTAAAACTTGAGTAATTTTTTTCCTTTGAAGAACATAATAAATGCATGTGGCACCCATAATATTCTGTATTTCTCTGTCATATGATAGAATTTCTGGGTGCTTAAAAATATTAACTCTTTTGTATAATATGGCCGAGGAATCATTTCCATCTTATGGCTCCCATTATATCAATGAGAAAATGAAAATAGAAAGATTTTATCAGGCCAGTGGCAGAATCCCAATAAAAATTCGATCACTCGTGAAACCTAAGCCCAGGATTAGGTCCCCTCTGGGGAGTTAAGAAAGCCTTATTGGATCATCTGCTATATGGACATCTTCCCTCCCTCCCTTTCTTCTTGTCTCGAGGACTTCCACGCATGATATTAATCTTTATGAATCTTTATGCAATTCCATTTACATTTAATCTACACAGAATTAAAAAGACACATTTTGCTCTCCATGGGCATCATAGAATACATTGTTGTTGAATAATGTGTGTCTGCTTCCTGCTTTCCCAAACATACCAGTTTATTAACTCAACTATCTTTTCCCCATTCGGATCATCTGCCCCTTCCCCCAAATCAAAAGCAAATCCAAATATAGGAGAAGCAAATATTAGGCCCCTAAATGATACACAGGTAAAACCAAGTCTGAAATGCTTCACAGGAAACTCTAACCTTTTCTGCTCAATGTGCCTGCCTTCCCATGCTGGCAGGACTCTCCGTGGGCACACGTGGTCCCCGGCTGAACCAGGAGCCGGCCAGGTTGGCTCTGGGCAGCTGGGTGTTCAAGGGTGACCCGGCTTGTCTGTCTCCTGAAGCCACAGGGTGTTTACTCTTGGTTTTGCTCAGTTGCCTGGCCAATCAAATAGGATTCTGTTTTAAATGGCATTTTTTTCTTTCCAACCTTGGCCTCTGAAGTCTTCCAGAATATTGGAAACCAGTTAAAGCATAAACATATGTCACACAGAGCTAGGGACAGTCAAAGAAACCAGGATGGCGAAGTCAAAGTTGCAAATTAAAACCCAGGAAGAATCAATTAAATAGGCACCAAAGGTCTGTTTAAATGATTAAACAAGACAGAAGTGCGTCTTGAGATGAATAAATTACAGAAATGTGTGAGAACAGCAATGAAAGGCTGGGAGGCTTGTGAGGGGGAGGATGAATGAATAGATGTGAGTGGAGAGATTTAGCAGAGGTGATATGCCCGCAGTCTCAGGTTTTTGGTTCTTACATTAATTAAAAATGCAAAAATGTCACCACTGCCTCTGGGTAATTGCACAAAACACGAATGCAACGGTGAACTCCCACAGCTAGAAGAATAACAAGAGGAAAGCAGTGACATTCCTCACTGTGGAGCTGAGCCCATGGCTCCTGATGTACTGCCGTTCTTCTCTGTACCAAATGCAGTGCGTCCTAAAGCTCAGTCTCCCTCCTCCCTCCTGCCTGGCTGCAGAGGTTCCGGCCGCGCTGCTGCTCTGTTATGCTCTCTGTTACTGTGTATGTTTCCCAAAGTGCTTTCACATATGCGTATCATGTAAACCTGGAAACAAGGTGAGAATGGCAAGTACGATTACAATTTCAGCTTTCCAGGGGAAGAAACCAGAAGGCAGAGAAATGCTGGTACCCAAGTTCACCTAAAGCCAGGAGCTGCCCCAGGGCCGCAGGTGCAGCTGGGCAAGTTGGGCAGGTTATGCAGGTACAGGGTTGCTGGCTAAGAGGACAAATGGAGGCCGAAGTGCAAACCTTGTCCAATTCACCAAACTGCAGCTTGGCATGGGGCTGGTCTAGCCTCAGGCAGGGGTGTCGTTTCCTAGTTTGCAAGGAGAAATTTAAAGGTGGCCTTGAGGTGAACTTGGATCTCTTGACACTGTGCCTCTGTTTTGGTGTCCTGCCCTGGGAAAGTTCTCTTCCTTCTCCTCCCCTATCTGAATCATAGCGGTCTCTTCATTTCAGACCCACCAACTTGAAAATACTACAGTGCTCATTTATCTATCTCTTTTAATCGTTTCTCAGTTTTTTTTCCTCACATAATAATCCTTTTTATGGTTCTTTACAGTTTTCTAAAGGCTTCCCATGCATTGTTATAAAAACAACTGTATTAAAAAAAATAAAAGATTATCCTCATCTCATAGAAAAACAGCTAGAGAGAATTCCTAAGGTCATGGTGCTACTAGGAGGCAGAGCCTGCATTAGAGCCAGGTGTAGATCCTGGTTCTGGGCTCTGCCCACCACGCTAAGTCACCTCCAGCCCAGCTTCTCCTCCCCAACTCCAGCAACAATCCCCCTAGCTTCTCTCCAAATACCTGGAATAATTTTTACCTCTTTCCTGCATCTATTAACAGCTTAATCAGGGTAGGGCCAATAACACTCTATTTCTTCCCTGCTGAAATTTGATGAAATGTCCACTTAGTCTTGGCCCAAGGCAAATAAGACCAAGCCTTTGGTCCTGGCTTCAATTTCTTTTGCTAACATTCCAACTTAATGCTGAGTTTCCATGGGATCTTTCACTCTCCCCAGCCCCCTCGCATAAACCTCTAAGGGGGCCAGTTGATCCCATCTCCGTGTTTCCCCCTACCAGACTCAAAACCAATTCAAAAATGGTCTCTGGGATGGTCAAGAAAGAGTTATGAGTTTTGTTTATGGATATAAGGAGGATGCAGCTGGGACTCAATGCTAAAAGGTGATTCTGACTACCTGCCCTCCCAGTCATAACTGGGGGAGAAAAGGCTGTCTCAAGGCAGGTGGACAGAGAACTGTAAGAAAGTGCTTGCTCCACAGGGCACGTATTATCCAAGAGGGTTCCATGAGCAAAGATATATAGCCCCATCAGTTCCCACAGGGAGGCCCTTGCCATCTCCCTCCTCGTGGATGAGAGGGCAGGTACTGGGGAGAGAAATGGGACTTCTCCCTGGGTTCCTCCGTGGGAAAGCAGAGGAGGTAGCAGAAGAGCCAGTTTTATGGGCCAGGACAGGATTTGGTTCGTTGGAATGGAAGGGTCTCAAGAAGGGCTTTAGGTGAGCCCCTTTTCTCAGAGTACCTCTGAGGATTTCCCTGCCACCCCTATGGAAAAGCCATGCAGAGTATACTGCCTCTTTTCCAAGATCACTCCACCAAGGAAGACATTTGCAGTAAGATGCAGTTTAGAGAGACAGAGCGACCCCCCTGCCTGCTCTGAGTAATGGGCAGCCCTATTCTGTGGATGTATTTGCAGGAGTTGTTCACAAGGCAGAGGGGAAAATTCTTCTCTTTCTCTTGGTAAGCTATTGACGGTTTTGCCAAGTTAACCTCTGAAATGGAATTTTATCCTATGTGCCTATCAAAATGAGGAATATAGCCATTCTGAAGTTATTTACATGTCAACATGTAACTAGATTACTTGAAAAACAGGAACACCAGCCTGAGGCTTAGGAGGAGGGCTATTGTTCTTATATGGGCACTGGCTACCTGTGGTATGTTGGTTCTGTTCCTTAAACACTTTGGACATCAGTACTGTTCTCCATATGACAAGAAGGTTATAGCAGGTGGATTCTTCCAGGATCAGTATCTCCCAGGCGTCCTGACCTCTGAGATCTTTAAGAGCAGTAAGAAGGCTCTTGGCTGACTTGGTATCAAACATCGACTTGCTCATCTCTAAAATAACCATTTTTAGAGAAGTAGGAAGGAGTTGAATTTGACACAAATGCGTAGCATAGCTCTAGTTGTCACTGTCTTAGCAAGGACCAGACTGCTTCCTCACCTGGCTTACCAGTGGAGATACTTTGTTTACAAACACTATCTGATCAGAAAAGACAAAATATGCCACAGAGCAAAATGATGGTAACAGGTTCAAGAGGCTGCCGGGCAATATTTCACAGGCAAATTCTCTCCGCGAACATAATCTTATTGCTGCTGAGAATGGGTTATTTCTTTAAGTCTCTGGAGCATTAAGAGGGACATTGATTTCCCATAGATATAAATCAGCAGAGAGTGTGAATATACATTTTACAGAAAAATCTATATAGGAGGAAATAAGGGAAGAATAAATGGATTACTTTAGTGTAAGGATTAGTATGTGAAAGGCAATGTTGTTACAGATGTTCGCCCCTTCTTTCTTCAGGACAGTAAATGATGGTGGCTGTGTCCAAAGAAAGGATCGTGTTAATTGGACAACGTCCCTTTCTACAGAAA